AAGTGGGAACATTTTATGAAACCTGAGTTCTGTGAAACACATGTTGGACAACATCGACCCACTGTGCTCCTCGGGGTAGCTACCTCTGTGATCCTGTCAAGCACATCAAGTTGTCCAGCATGAAATGTCAATAATATAACATACACAATACCATATTAGCTTTTCCCTATGCCTTTAAGTAATTTGTTCACCCCTTTAAATTAACTGTACATTTTTAAAGGGGAAAAACAATATCATGAAAAAATTAAGCACATATAAGACATTAACAATAAGATTTTTTTTTAAAATGCCACAATTAGGAAAGAACTCAACTATAATATCATGGCCACTTATAGACCTAAAAAGAAATCAGTACTGGGGCTGGAGAGATGGCTCAGAGGTTAAGAGTGCTGGCTGCTCTTCCAGAGGTCCTGAGTTCAATTCCTAGCACCCACATCAGGCAGATCACAGGAGATCTGACACTTTCTTCTGGTTCCCACAGACACCTGCACATATTCACACACATGTAATTAAAAATAAAATTAAAAAAAAAAGCAATCAGTAGCTTAGGTACATAGCTAAGGGGGGAAAGTAACAACAAAAATTGCTGGATTGGGACCGTGGACAGTATTCTACAAAGGTACATAATTTTGAGGAGTCAGAAAATTGAATCGGAGCCTGAGCGTGATCATCTGCATCACTAGGATTTCTGGGCAGTCTCAAGGCCACCAGCCCAAGCGGTTTTCAGTCACAGCCATGCCTACACAGCAGAGTCACTGTGAGGAAACACCAAACACCCTGAGATGATGTCTGAGAAGTTGACCAGACTGGTGCTTTGAAACCCATAACGTGTGCTCGGGGAGGTGACAAGTTGGGTACAGGGGTGGAGCACTTATAATAGTGCTGCTTGTATGCTGTGGGGTGTTCTGTATGGCAAATGTGTTGCTCTGATTGGTTAGTAAATAAAACACTGATTGGCCAGTAGTCAGGCAGGAGGAAGTATAGGCGGGATAAGGAGGAGAAGAATTCTGGGAAGTCGAAGGCTGAGTCAGAGACACTGCCAGCCGCCATCATGACATGCCGCATGTGAAGATGCTGGTAAGCCACAAGCCACGTGGCAAGGTATAGATTTATAGAAATGGGTTAATTTAAGCTATAAGAACAGTTAGCAAGAAGCCTGCCACAGCCATACAGTTTGTAAGCAATATAAGTCTCTGTGTTTACTTGTTTGGGTCTGAGCGGCTGTGGGACTGGCGGGTAAGAGAGATTTGTCCTGACTGTGGGCAAGGCAGGAAAACTCTAGGTACACTTGTATGTTGTAGCTAGCTCTGCTGGGACGTTAACTCGAGAGGCAGTCTTTCGGACTGTTCCGAATTAGACCAAGAATGAGCCCAAATTTGAAGACTCTACGTATCTCCTTGTATCTTCTGTCTGTGCCTATTATCTGTGGTCTGTATTGTCTGTCTGCCTGTCTGTCTATCTGTCTGTCTGTCATTTGTCTGTGTGTGTCTGATGCCTGCCATTTCATTTTTATTTATTTATTTATTTATTTATTTATTTATTTATTTATTTATTTATTTATCTATCTATCTGTCTGTTTGTTTGTTTGTTTATTGAGACAGGCTTCTCTGTATAGCCATGGTTGTCCTGGAACTCAGTCCGTAGACCACGTTGACCTTGAACTTAGAGATCTGTGTGCCTCTGCCTCTGAGACAATTCCCCCCATTTGTTATTCTTTGGTATTTTCATACATGTATATAATAAGTTGTAGTCATTTTCTTCCCAGTTGCTTCATCATTTTGTGTTTGTAAACTATTTCATCTTGGCTACTCCGTCTTTTTAATATCCATATACTTCACATCCAAGTACCTGAAACTTCAGAGTTTGCCTAGGGTGTGATTTGGGTCCCCTGTAAGAGAGATTCAAAAGAACTAGGCAATTAGGCAGTGACATCAGAGACTGGTGGTACAAGGTTGAGTGTATCAGGAACAGAAGGAGGCCTGAGGAGAAAAGCCCTTGTCATTCTATGTGAAGATCACTAGCACAGCAGCAGACATCTGGATCTGGGGCAGGAGCAGTTGAAGAGTCAAGATTTTCTTAGAACCTTCTTGGCAAACACAAAGAACTCAGAGAACAGAAATTCTTTACATCGCACTGTGCTGGTCCTACAGGGGTCTTCCACCCATGTCGGTCACCTCACAGACAAGAATCTACCCTTTTGACAGCCTTTTGTCTTCTTGGAGCAAAACACCTCGGTTTTGCTTGTATAACATGCCTAATTTAATGAAATTTTTAGTCTTACAGACATTCAAACCGATTTCAAAAATCACTCCTTGTTCACCACACTTCCCAAGACTTTGAAATTCTAAGACGGCAGACAGAAGCAGGGTACTATTCATCAGTTGACAGAAGAAAGGGAAACAAGATTAGCTTAGACTAACCAAACTACCTGAGCCCTTTAAAAGGAGGATGTCAGAGAGATTCAATTTGAGACAGTGAGAGTTTCTCCCCTGCTGAGATGGAGGGAGGGACTTGACAGGCCTTGAGGGTAACCTCTAGGGGGCAACTGGAGTCCCCTGCCAAGGGCTGGAAAGAAAACAGGGTCCCAGTTCAAGAACCACAAAACTCACAACCACTACTGTTGTGAGGTATCCACCGGAGAAGATTGCTTAGGCATGGGTTTAAGCCCATAGAAAGTCTGTATTAGCCGGCCGATGACTACACTGGGTGCTTGGCATCCTCGTGGAGTCCCAAGCCTTTCCCAGGGTGAGCTCTTAAGCATGAAAAACCATATCCTGGGTTGACATACTTCAGTTAACAAGAACAGTTAGCCAGAAGCAGAACCACAGAAGCCAAAAAGCAAGGTTGATACATTTAGAGACTTTCCCAGAACCATGGACTTTGATGGATTAGGTCTTTGTTTTCATTTTGGCAGGTGGTGTTGTCTACGTGCTGAGTTTTATGGCCTATTTCCATCATGGAGTCAGTTGGGCTAAGGTCTGGGGGTCTGTTACAGTGCCAACCCAAGGGAGCTGGGAATCAGATATCTTCATCATTGAGCCTGCCACAAGGAGGTAGTCGGCTTGGACCTCCTTAACTGTCTCCTTCTGCAAGGACCCACCCCAGGCAGAGAGTGCAGTAGTCTACAGAGTAAGCAAATGTTTAGAACAATGACATTATGTACAACATATTGGCACAATCCATAGTGCGCTTTAAAATAAATCCCCTAGCTTTTACTAAATAGATATCTTAAGAATTTCATTGTTTTAGCCAGGCATGTTGGTGTAAGCCTTTAATCCCAGCACTCAAGAGTCAGAAGCAGGTGGATGTCTGAGTTGGAGGCCAGCCTGGTACTACCGAGTGAATTCTAGGACAGTCGAGGCTACATAAAGAAACTGTCTCAAACAAACAAAACACATAAAACAATGAACATAAAAAAAGAAAAAAAATCTCATTTTTTGGGGGGGAAATTTTAGCAATATGCTTATAAGGGTTCTGTTTTCCTATGGAAATATGTGTGTTCCTGTGTGTGCATATATGTACATGTGTGCACTGCATGTGTGCATATGTGTGCCATGTGTTTGTAGCCTTGGATAAATATGCCGGGTTTTTGTTTTTTGTTTTTTGTTTTAAAGAAAGTAGCTTTTAACTCTATCTTTTCTTGTTCTCAGCACGTAGCCCAGACTGGCCTGGAACACACACCCATCATTTCTTGGCCTCCTGAGTGCTGGGATTACAGGTATGTGCCACCGCCCCCTTCTTGACTCGGAGATTTCGATTCTTCCTCTTACCGTCTGGATTCTGAGATCTCCTAAGATGGATTTCTGTCACGGGGATGAAGATCTGACCTCAGGGTGTTACAGTAGCTGTTTCTGAGCTTTCCCCAGAACTAAATTGGGAATTTCCTGTTATCTCCATGTCAACCCATAGGCCTCAGTGATCCCTCCTCCCCAGCGCGTAAGCACCCCTTTCCTCTTTAATAGGAAAACTGGATATGAACTCCACCAGCATCTCCTTCTCTGTTCTTCACCTCTGTTCCTAACCTAATCCTAAGCCTGCTTTCTAATTTTAGTAAGTCACTTGTCTTAGTAAGAATTTCTGTTGTGTGATGAAACTCCGTGACCAAGCAACTTGGGGAGGAAAGGGTTTATTCAGCTTACTCTTCCACATCACAGTCCACCATTGAAGGGAGTCAGGACAGGAACTCAAACAGGGCAGGAACCTGGAGGCAGGAGCTGATGCAGAGGCCATGGAGGGGTGCTGCTTACTAGCTTGCTCCTCATGGTTGGCTCAGCTTTCTCTCTCTCTCTCTTTCTTGTTGTTTTGTTTTTGTTTGTTTTGGGACAGGATCACAGTGTGTAGCTCTGGCTGTTCTGGAACTTACTATGTAGATCCGTCTGGATTCAGAGATCTGCCTGCCTCTGCCTCACAAGTGCTGGGGTTAAAGATGTGTGCCACTACACCAGCTTTCAACCTGCTTTCTTATAAAACCCAAAATCACAAGCTCTGGGGTGTCCCCACACACAATGGGCTGGGCCCTTTCCCAACTATCACTAATTAAAAAATACATCCTACAGGTTTGCCTGCCTATAGCCTGATATTATGAGGACAATCTCTCTCTCTCTCTCTCTCTCTCTCTCTCTCTCTCTCTCTCTCTCTCTCTCTCTCTCTCTGTCTCTCCATCTCAAATAAAATTTTTAATGATTTATTTTTATTTTATGTGCATTGGTTTTTTGTCTATATGTGTGTCTGTGTAAGGGTGTTGGGGTCCTCTGGAACTGGAGTTACAGACAGTTGTGAGCTGCCATATGGGTGCTGGGAATTGAATGTGGGTCCTCTAGAAGAGCAGCCAGTGCTCTTAACCACTGAACCATCTCTCCAGCCCCCGGAGACATTTTCTCAATTGAGGTTCCCCCATCTCAGATGGCTTCAGCTTATGTCAAGTTAACATAAAACTATCCAAGACCATTTGAATGCCTGTATCCTCTCATCTCAGATGCACAAGTACATCACAACACACATCAAGCCCTCATCACAGGGCAGGCCCTGAAGCTACAATGAGGAATCGTTAGCATTTCTGTCTCCACTTGCCAGAAATTCATCTGCGGGTACAAACAATACTATTTCCCAGATGAAGCAGGATCCACACGCAGGTAACAGATGGAAGTTGATGCAAGTAGGAACAGTGAGCTTCAGAGCTCACAACCAGACATCCCAGCAGGCACACAAAGCATGGAACTGGAGTGGAGGTGCAGAAACAATTTCAAGACCCAAACAGACGTCAGCAGAGTCTATTGGGAGGCGGCAAGGTGGCAAAGAACCTGGAAGGAAATGTAGATATCATTTAATTTCTGGTGCATGTCTGCGTGTCTGTGTCTCTGTCTCTGTGCCTGTGTGTGTGTGTGTGTGTGTGTGTGTGTGTGTGTGCGCGCGCGCGCGCCTGTGATCACAGCAAAGGCCAGTCTCAGTTATTTGGAGATTAGAGCATCGGTAAGAGAAAGACAAGGATTTCCACATGGAAAATAACAACTCTGACCCAGTTACCAGAAGTAGGACACAAGGCAGAGGCAGGGTCCTTAATACAAACGGTAAATCTAGAGCAATACAGAAATTCTATGTCATCCTACAAATCTGTCTGAACAAGCATGCAAATGTGTATGCAGCCTGTTAACCACAGCACTGTGGATAACTGATGAATGTAGAAACAAATGAACCGTCCCGGGGAGAGTTCCAATCACAAAAATGAGGAAGAGCATATAGCTTGGATTTCCAAAGTATCCTGTTAGTTGAAAGAAGCTGAGATACATGACAGTCTGAAAGGTTTGAATATACTGATGCAGAGATAGACAGACAGACAGACAGACACACACACACACAGGTGGGGGGGGCGGGGAGGAGTAAGAATCTGGGGAGATGGATCAGAGGTAAAGAGTGCATTCTGTTTTTGCAAGTTCGGTTCCCAGAACCTACATGGCAGCTCACAATCATCTGTAACTCCAGCTCCATGGGATGTGATGCCTTCTCCTGGCCTCCTCAAGCATCATGCATGCAGACATTCACGCAGGCAAAATGCTCATTCACATAAAATAAAGGTAAATTTTAAAATCTTTTTTAAAAAAGAAATGATCCTAAGTATTTCAAACAAATATAGCACAACTATTGATTAAAAATTGGTGCAGAGCCTAAAGAAGGGGATAACTTCACCCCAAAGCAATCAGCTTTAGGAAATCAATAACATCTATGGAAGACGGGGCGTGGGAGGGTGGGGGTGGAGGGGGGTGGGACGGGACGGGACACGACACACGACACAAGAGCACTCTGGGGAGGGTCTGCCTCCAACCAACCCCAGTACTCAGGCTCTACCAGGACAGCCTCTTAGGGCGGTTCCTTCTGAGCTCTCATTAGGTTAACAGACGGTTCTGAAATGCCAGTTTGTGGTTATCTTAGCAAACATTTCACAGAATAGCACATTGTTTTCAGGGGAGGGGTCATTTGTTATTCCTTTCCTGTATTGTGTCCAGTTTTTTAGATGGACTTGTATTCTGTAAACCGTAGAGAGCTGAAGCTTTGCTCTGTAACCCTAATACTTTCAGAAATACTCCAAGAATGGCTTTATTTCGAACTGTTTGGGGAGTATACTTAAGACTGAACGAGGAAGAATTGGTTTTTTGTTTTTGTTTTTGTTTTTAGATGAACCTTCAAGGCAAACTACGTAGTAAGTACCTTTTAAAGAAGCACTCACAGCCGGGCGGTGGTGGTGCACGCCTTTAATCCCAGCACTCGGGAGGCAGAGGCAGGCGGATCTCTGTG